AAATTTCAAACTGCTAGCCATATTCAACAACTACTTTCTATTACAAAAACGGCATGATATTATTGGGGACACCAATTACTGTCAATGCTTCATCTCCTCTGCAATTTTTGGAAGAGTACATACCAAAATGGAGCGTCATTAATAAAAAGTGAATTTCCAGTAACTCGAGCCTTATACCAAATGATTCATTTTTCTTAATTTCTATTACACAGCATGTTGAATAACTATGAATAAAGTTAAGAGTAAAACAATGATTCTTGTTTTTCTCTGCCTGCAGGACGCATGAGACCGCAAATTGAACTACCTTTTCATTGACTTCTTTATTATTGCACGTGAAACCGCATCTTTACTTCGATCAAATTAATCTTGAAGAAGTATATTTTTTGTGTTTTTTTTTTTTTGCAATTGTTTCTAAAATTTTGACATTGATCTTTTGACACTCTGAAAACCCTTGACCAACATAAAGTTTTTATAAAGCCTTTGTCTAAAAATCCTTGACCAACATAAAGTTTTTATCAAGCCTTTGTCTATCCTTTTTAAGACCATTTTGGGCAATGAACCAAAAAAAAAAATCGCTATTTCCAAATTGACATATGTCGTATTCTTTACCTGAAATGTTGCACAGTTCTTTACATGCACAAAGATAATTATAAAGTACATTTTCTCCCTCTCTTAATAATGTGCCTTTGTTTGTAATAATCACTTCACATAGACATTAGGCAACAGGACAAACAATCATTTTTCATCTTGTTCATACTTAAAATTATGTAATTTATTTTCTCCAAAATGTTTTTGCCTAAAAAGTAGTTTCTCAGCAAAAGAAAATAAAATATTTTAGACCAATTAGATAGTTCAATATTGTTGATGTCTTCGTCCAATTTGAAATAATTATCATTTTCCTTTTTATAGAAAAAAATGTTTTTGATATGCTAGCAAAGCAACAAATTAAAGTTAGCTGTTGTGTCACTATCGTGCAAATTTTAAAAATGATAAGGTCAGTAACTTTTTTATACTAATCAAAACTCATCACACAATGAGACTTGGAGAAAAAACAAAAAAATAAAAATAGGGTACCATACTACTTTTCTCTCAGTCTTGGTCATATTATAAAGAAGCTTAATTAGATTTCTTTTGTGCAAATATGTCTGTCTTTATTCTACCTGGGATTTTATGCAAATATGTTTGTGACTAGATTTTATGGTGGATGATTTTTTTTTTTTTTTTTTTTTTTGGTGTGGATGATATGAAGAGACGGGAACATCAAACATGATGACTATGGTAGCTAGATGACACTTCTTTTAGCAAAATATCCATCTAATAAGCTTGGAAACATTGCTTGTTTTATGGATTGCATAAAAAACTATTTGCGGCAAGCCTTTGGCCTACCAACCTTATCCACACAATTGCTTTCTCCTCTTTTCTTTCTTTTTCTCCTAATATCTATCGTCCGTCGATAATTTTACCAACTTTTGGAAGGGGTGGAAGGATTCTAAGGCAATGATGAGGGCAAAGATGGCTAGCATGGCAAAGCTTTATTCTTAGTTGCCACTGGGGTCTGTATTTGCTCTTTTATATGAGACAAAATAAGTATAAATTTTTTTTATCACGATCAGTGGCGAAGCGAAGACCCTAAGGTCAAGGGGTTCAATCTCCGACAGTATGTAGAACACAGTAATAGTGAATTAAATTAAATGAAAATCTATGTAAAACATATATTTTTTTAATTTCCTATATAAAATATGTTTTTAAGTTTAAATTAGACCTAAATTTAATAATAAAAATCACTCAACAATTTGTGTTTAGAAATATCGACAGAGCTTATATTTGGATTAATATCTATGTTTTTAACATTATTGTAAATAGTAACAATTATGAAATTTTTAATTATTTGATGTCAGGGAGGGGGAGGGGGCAAAGCACCTGAAAAGAGAATTTTATAGATGTTGCGGGGCAATGCACTTAGAAAAGAAAGCCTTAAAGATTTTAGGAGGGGCAAATAGAGAGCAATTCTTGAAATTTTTTAAATTTTTTAAGCCTAAAAAACAATTTTCTCAATGTTGAGGGAGGGAGGAAAATTATATACGGCTCCGCCACTGATCATAGTGGTAGCAATTTAATAAATAGCATTGAAAACAAAGAAAATATCAATTTTTTTTCTAAAATTTCATTTCTATCTAAATTTTTCTAAAAGTATATGTTTGTGCTCATATTTTGGACATTATATTGACTTTAAATTGAAGAGTGATTTTAGAATTTCATGATAATATACAAATTTTGTATCATGTTGATATATCAAAGATTCAAAGGGCCAATGAATTAATAACCAAAGTGCCAAGAAAATATTCAGTTCACATGACATATAGTAATGTGCCAGCAGTCTATACATCGTATCATTTTTTATCACTTTGCAGCTTATCTTGTCTATATAACATCATGTATGTTGACAGTATGTTAGAACAATAGCTTAATATTAATCCTCGAGCAATCATTTTTGGTTTAATCACTTAGATGAAGTAATTCAACAAAAAATTTGCTCTTCCCTTCCCCCTCGTGCAAAAAACATGCCATCATGAAAGGGAGTTTGTAAAAATAAATGCATGCATTGTTAACTAGAATTTTATAACTTACCATTTCACTTTTCTCTCCTGTATTTTCTCTAGGATTCACTTTCTTCTTCTTTTGCCAATTCAATGTCTCTGATCTTGCTAACACATAGCAGTCATAATTCAGGGTTCATCTTCCCCAGTCGTAAGAGAAAAAAGAAAAACCCCAAAAAGGAAACACTGAGCACAATTAGCGCCTGTTCTTTTGTATCTATGATGGTTGGTTACTTGTTTTTTCTGCAGCAAACCGACATGCACAGACATTAACCTAACTGCCTTATTGTGATATGCTAAAATAATCCAAGCTCTAATTTGTAATTGGATTTTTTGTGACGTCAAGTATTGATAGTAGTTGCAGCAAAAGGCTGGAAATAATTGCATTATATATTTCCATAATGAAGTCTTAAATTCCGAAATATCTAGGGACCCATTACCAGTATTTAGATTCCAACTAGAACAATGATCGGACTTGCAACCAAAATATGGCATTAATGATTTGACATATAATAGAGCTCAGTCTTACGGAATTATGTGTGCATATGTCATGTCCAGATTCCTTTGATTTGACCAGAAATATATAGTGCGCATCTAAGTTTTTAAATCCTGAGAAAGTGAGGATTTCTATAGCTACCTGGTTTGCAAGTGTGTATGCCATTAATTTCTTTGGGCAAATGACAGAAGGTGGAGCGTCGTCAGAGAATTATTTTAGAGCGTGAATGTCATTTGTCTTTCTTTATGTTAGCACAAAATCTTAATTATTTTTTTATAACTTGCAAAATACATGCCAAATAAAGGCCAAAATAGCTCCAGTTTCTTTCCTGCATAAAGGTTCTTTGATAATGTAATTACAGTGTTAAAGTATGTTTGTGAATATCTATTTCTCCAAAATGCAATTGACATATTCATATTAATAATTAAAGGGTATTTAAAAGATAATTATTACATTTGAAGTCTTTATTTGATTAAGTTCAATTTTAGATCCCAAATGAAAAGAAAAATGGTACAAGAAATACTTGTAGAGAAGTTAGACATTTATGGTTATTTTAGTTTCCTATTTTTACTTGGATAACCATTAAAGTATCTCTATATTTGGGATAGCATAACGTTGAGTATCAATATTACTTTTTAGAAGTTGTCTAAAGATGATTAGGTCTGATTAGTTGGATAACAAGAACAATCCTAATGAAGGACGCCTTAAAATCTAATGTTTCTTTATTTCATATATGGCATAAAAAAATTAATTTTTCCTACATTGATAATGTATATATTATTAGCGTTGGATGAATGACAAATATATAAAATTTGAATTTAAAATTCAACTTTTACACATATATCATGGATCCAACAGTGATGGTATATACACTATCGTCAGTGCATATAAAATTTACTCTAAAAAAAATATATTGATAATGTACGATTTCTTTTCCAAAGTTCTTATAAGATATATAGAAGCATTGTAAAAATAAAAGATATATAGAAGCATACGTATAAACTTAAGATCTCTTGTAATTATTTCTACTCTAACCAAAATTTTTAAATTTCTTCTATTGTGTTAAAAGGTTGGACTAAAAGTGCTGCAACTTTCTGTGATATATCTCCACATGCATGGCTGATTATGTTCCAAGGATAAGATTTTGAAGTTGGAATGAAGGTTTCTTCAATGCATATATATCATTGTCTTTTTGGAGTTGGGAAGCTTTCATTCAATTGAAACATGCAATTGCACCGCATATCATGTTGATATTATTAATTTCTTTGTTTAAAAAACAAACACATGGTAATCAGTCAAATTAAGCTGGAAAGTTGTGCATTTAACTACTCTATTAAGATTTCAAAGTATGATGATTTTTCTTTTTCAGGTGCATTGGGAAGCCTCAGGCCCATTACAGAGTAACTGATTGACGACTAGTAACCCCATTACATTAAAAAACACAAATTGTGCCTATTTAAAAACATCTGGTGGATTGGAGAGAATCAGCAGGTGCTGCTGATGATCATGGCTCCAACTCGGATGACATGATGTTGAAGTGTGGGCTGTTCTTACTCCATCCTTCACTACAAAAATCCTATGGACCGTATCCCTTCTCCCGTGCAAGTTCCAGTCCGTAGGTCATGCCCCATTATTCATCTGCGACATCAGTAAAAAGTGTGAATTAAAAACCATAACAATTAGCAAGTGAAAGATCCAACTTCAAATTATGGTATTGGTCAGTCTTTGCAGAAGTTTAAGCTAGACTCACTTCATTGGATTCCTCAACTCTTGGATAAAATGTTATGGTTCGACAATACCCACAATGTAGATTTCTTAGGCTCATGTAGATTTAGATTATACGTAGTAATACAAGAACATATCTCGGTCTAATCGGGAAAAATCCGGCCAATCTGGTGCAACATTGTGATCCAAACTAACATGAATTATTTGCAATTTGGGCTGAAGCATTCATGTGGAGGTATAATAGAAGAAGAGACGTGTTTTTGTCTAATTAGAATGATTGTGCCACTCGCTCGATCACAAATGGTAGAAACTATACTCAATCCGAATGATATGAGAAAGGCAGAGGTGGACTTGATCAGGGACAGAAAGAAAGTTAGTTCACAAGGCTGATTTGACGGAGATGGAGCGATCAGTAATGGCACCACGATGGACATTGTTGCTCAACAATAAGTTTTTCAGCTCGCTCACAAATCTGTCCATTGCCAAACCCGGCAGAAAAATAGGAACTACTCTTCCTTCCTCCCCCTTCTTGTTCTTGAAGGGTATGTGAAAGCTGGCAACAGTACCCTTGGCCGGCCCCCCATACACCGGCTTTCCCCAACCAAAGTCCACGTCAGTCAACCTAGACCGGGTACCATCCGACACAAGATAAGTCCTCACCAGAGTGAAATGAGGCCTCCCTTTAATAACCATTAAATCAGCCACAGATCTCATGTAATCTTCTGTCACAACACGTTTGACCTTGGTCACCAGCTCCACTGCATATCCCACAGGCTTGTTGCATAGCTCTCCAGCTGTCGTCAGCGCCGTTGGATATGCTATAACATTGCCGTAGTATCCTTGGGGCAAGGGAGGATTGAACTTGGAACGAGCATTAACAATGCACATCACGCGGACTTCCTCGTTAGGTTCAGGCTGGAGGGCGATGGTTCGGCAGCGCCAGAGGCAGGCTGTCAGAACATCAAACGTCGAACACTTGCGACTAAGGTCAAGAGGGATCGATTTTCTCAGCGCTGAGATCTCTGCCGGGCCAAAGAAGAAAGAACGATGGACCATGTCATCCTGGGGAATGATGGATCCCTTGGTGTCAGCTACCTGGTCGTATTCGTGGTGGGTGCACGTCACCCTTGGCGGGTCTCTAGCATTGAGGAGCTCTCTCTGCCATACTGGCTGTATAGATGGGGCAGAGGCTCCCCGTGCGATTTCTCCCACAGCATTCATGAATTGACCGAGTCCAGCAGCATCAGCCATGGTGTGATTTACGCGAAGTGCGAAGATGAAACCACCGCATCTTAAACGAGTTACCTGCGTAACGTTTTACATGATGGGAATTGGACAGGTACATTTGGTCTTAAGTATAACTGGTGCGATTGTTGTACACATTGCATGGTTTTGTGTACACTCAAATAACTTTTGTTGTATTACATGATTTGATGTACATTTCTATAACTTTTATTGTACATCATGAAATACAACAAAGTATCATGAAAAAGTATAATAACCATACCAACAGCACCTGAAACCAATCGTACCTATCTGAAACCGTATATAGTACAATAACATTACAGTTATATATATGATCAGTGAATATCATAGTTTAGCTAGTTAATTAGCTGCTACTTACTGGAACAAAATATGAAAATACCCACTACTATGACTTCCAATTGCTATTTATCGTAACTAAGAATTTATAATTCTACCAAAGAGTTTCATCCAAATCCAAATAGTTACTCCGTATCGTGATACTAAATTTTTTCATACAATAATTGTAGATGCATTTTACAGAATTCCCATTGGCACTCAGTAATTGATTGCAAGTGTAAGAAAAAAAAATAAAGCCCACTCCCTGAACAATTTAGTTGGTAGTGGACAGGGCCAGGCCTACTTGTGGGGCCTTTATCATATTTTTTTACTTAAAGGGTACTCCAACCTTTCGCTAGACTAATTACTAAGGCTGTGTAGAGGCTTGTCACAATGATACACACAAGGTTGATCAAGTAACTACGAGGTTACAGAACCAGTCGGACTACTCGTGGGAGCAGGCATTTATCATTGAAGTTGCCAATTTATGTGAGACGCCACCTTAGACGAAACTAGGCGAGATTTATCTAAAAGAGTGTAGATTAGAATCATGGATATCCTAGCGCAAAAGAGGGTAGCAATTTTCTACCGTTAAAAATAGGTAGTATTGCCAAGTATTCAACTATCAATTTACCTCTTCCTTGGAGAAACTTAGAAGAATCTGGGAAAGAGTGATGGGGACACCTTCACATTCACGAACCAAAAAAAAAAAAAAAGACACAAAAGAGTGGTACAGTTGTTGGGTTGTACCTGTATAAGCAGTAAAGGACAGTGAAGGATTCCTCCAGAGTGAGGAACATCATAGAGGAGCTCGTCCAAGCACGGGAATGGAGGCTGAAGCGCATCCCCAAACTGCTCCAGCGTCACGTCTGCATCGGCTTCAATGAACAGAACACCCTCTCCCGTGCACTCAACCATCAGCTTTCTTCCGGGGCCTTCTCTCAGCCGCCCTGCAAACGGGTAGTAGAACACCAGAGCCTTCGCAATAGCCTCCCTGATCACCTTCACGGGGTCTAATCTCCTCCTGGTCCCATTAATCCTGGGATCATTATTATGGTTATGGTAAAAATGGATGGCGGGGAGTTGAGTGCGAAGACCCTCTTGATCGTCGATGTCAGAGAGGAGCTTGAATTCCCTAGGGGTGGACTTGGCCGGACGGACCAGCTCAGGCTTTTGTCTGGTCACCCTGAATGTCAAAGACTTTTTTGAGTTTGATGATGCTGATCCGGATCCCATTCTACCGTCCAGAAACAAACTTCCACCACCTACTGATTATCTACAACAAATATATTTCTTTAGGAAATGCAAACAAGCAGCAAGAATGTTTTGCATGTGTATAACATATATGCGATAATGTCACATATCTCCCTGAGGTTTAGCCTAATTACAGGAAGCTCCCCTCAGGTTTGTATAATAACAATTACCGCCCTTCACTATGTTAAAGGGCCTGACTCCTAACCATAATTTTCAGGGAAAAAAAATGCCAAAAACCGAAATGAAAATGAAGAAGGCACCAGAAGACTCCAACTCCATTTCCTCCACCCTTTTCACCCCTCATCAAATCTTACCCTTTTTCAATTACTTGGCCAGCCTCATAACTTTCAAATCTTCCCTTGCCGTCTAATCCTCATCTCTGTCGGCAGTTATAAACATCCTGCCGTAGCAAAAAAATTAAAAAAAAAGGTGAATAATAGTGTCCAAAACCATGAAGCTATCACAACATAGTCCAACCAATAGTAGACAAGAAATCGTGAATTCATCAGCCACATCTACTTGCATATCAGCCTCAATCTTGTGATTTGCAGTACCACAATCAATTTTCCAGCTACCGATGGGTTCCTTTCGTCATGTCACTCGAAAGTCCGAGGAGATCAACTTTTGTTCATAGAGGATTCAGCCATGATAAATCGGTGCAGGAACACGTACTTGTCTGTACTTTTTTGGAAAAATGAGGAACGAGGGAAGTGTGGCAGTGGTAGAAGAAGTGGGCATGGAGTGAAAGACTTGGGAAAGAGATGTATGAATTTATGTGAGACACAATTATAAGGGGAGAATGAGGCAAGCGTATAACTCAATTAATATTTGTTTTGTATTATGGATAATATCAGTATCCTCCCTGAGGTTTCTCTTAATTCATCTGGCATCTTTAAACTTTTAAAAATATCACTTACCTCCCTTATTTTTGTTATTTGTGTAACGAATTTTTTAAAAATCCAAACTACTCTTTTACTTGCTAAATAAAAATATTCCCATACAACTTTATTTACTTTAAAAAATTATCACTTAAAAATAATTTCTGGTAGTACTATCACATCATAATGCTATATCCCATAAAAATATAAATTTAAAAAATAAAAAATATATTTGCAAAGAAATACACTTGCACTAGTTTAGCTATATATGTTCGAAACTGATTTCTTATGAACTTTATATTTTTTCCAACCTTTTCTCAACTCGTGCCTAAACCTTTAAACTATACCGATCATTATAAAAAAAATCAACTCAAAATAAGTAAATAAATCATATCCCACTCCATTACAATCATGAAAAGCAAAAGATAAATAAGATTCAATTTATAATAATTTACAAATGAAATATTGTATAGTCATCTAAAAAAATGAGTAAAAGAAAACGTTGGAGAAAAGGGAAAGAAAAGAAAGTGACTTTTGTTTCTTTTTTTTTAAAATTTTTGAGTTTCATTTATTTAATATGTGAATTATGCATCAAATAAAAGTTAATATAGCTTTTTACAATTATTTTTAAAATTTTAGGAGTGCCAACTAATATTAGAAGAAACTTCGAGGGAGGTTTCTGATATTTTCCTTGTATTTTATTATTCCTTGAAATTTTATCCCCTTGTAAAATTTATTCATAGGAGTGTCATTTTGGGTTATTCATGGGAATTTATTTATAGGATAAGAAGTGAGGGCTAACGAAGTGCTTTGGCTTTTTGGCTATTTGAGTTCAAATACAACTCAATCGTTGTTTATTATTCCTTCAAATGTTATCCTTTTTCTAAAATTTGTTCATGGGAGGATCATTTTAGGGTGTTCGTGGGAATTTTATCTCCAGGCCAGCATATTGGGTTTGTTTTGTTATTTTAAAGGTGAAATAGGGGTTGTAAGTGATAGTTTCTAAAATTGAAGGGAGCTTGACAGGTCCATAAATATATTCATATAATAAGTTATCATGAATAAGACCGGGGCACGGCTTGTATCTTGACGTCTAGCGTGGCGGCTGATGCTTGATAGATGCCGTTCTTCTTGACTACCACCTGAACTTCACCATTTAACCTCACAAATTGTTTATTGACAAGTGTTCAGATCCGTTTGTGCAACTAATAGAAAAATATTATTAAAGTTTGAGTAAAGTTATATCATTTTTAAAAGAATTGGTTTTATATTGTTGACAATAAATATTAAAATAATTTATCAAAATAAAAGGCATAAAGAGATAGTTATTTATAAATAATTCATAACCATAATTAGCAGTTGAATATATTAGGTAGGCAGTACGTAAGAATATTTTAGAAAAAAGGGCAAATTTTACTTTACCCCCCTGTGGTTTAGCGTTTTTCACATAACCTCCCTATAGTTTCAAAAGCTATACATAACCCCCTTATGGTTTGGATTAAAGTGTCAAACTAATGGAAATAGTCACTCGTAACGGCGTCACCTAAAATGTCAAAAATACCCTTATGTAAGGTTGAAATTTATGTATTAACCAAGGGGGGTTATGTGTATGTTTTGAAAATCATAAGAGGGTTATATGGTAAAGTATTAAACCATAGGGGGGTTATATGGTAAAATATAAAAATCATAGGGGGTTAATGTGTCATGTATTTATAAGGGTAATTTTGACATTTTTAGAAGTTCCGTTACGAGTGACTATTTCCGTTACTTTGACACTTTAATCCAAACCATGATGGGGTTATGTATAACTTTTGAAACCATAGGGGGGTTATGTAAAAAAGGGTAAACCACAGGGGGGTAAAATGTAATTTATCCTAGAAAAAATATAAAGTGACAAAATTTTATTTATACCAAAAACCGCATCTCCCTTTACATATGGTATAGACGTTGAAGCATGAGTTAGTAGATATGATTTTCCTATGAACATCATAAACATGTGTTAATGGTTATATTAATACTGAATCTAAGGGGTTAATTTTTTTATTACTATTCTCTCTTCTTTTTTTTCCATTTTACATGAACATGTAGCTGCAAAACTTAACGAAATTTCGACGTTGAAATTGCACTTTTCTCTTTCTTCTTGGAGAACTTACTCATATTTTTCAATTTAGATTAAGCATATTAAACGAAAGGCACGGCTATATGCTTGCGTTTAGATATGATTAACTAGGTTTTGGGATGTTATGAAGAAGTTTATGTGAAATACATGAATAATTATGGTAGATGGAATTCAAATATGACAATTTTCAATCCATTGAAAATAAAACGATAGGGTATGTGGAAGCAGGTCAGAATATAGTTGCCTTGTAGCAGACCTATCAAAATCTCCAAAAAATGTTTTAAAAATATATATAGTTGCTTGGAACATAGAACTTAAAGGTCTCATAACTTTTGAACTAGAATACAAGAAAGTTGAAGTGTTACAATGGACAAAACATTCTATATAATATATAAAAGGGAAAAGATGGGCTGTTTCATCAAACTCATTTTACCTTAATATATCATTCTGGGTTTTTGGGTAAAAGTAGATTGAAGGGTGTGATCTTGGAAAGGTAGACTGAAATTTTAGCAGCTCTTTCAAGGTTTGATCATATCTAGACACAAAGATATTTTAGCAGCTCTAGATATTTTTCAATTTGTATCTTTCAAAGCTATGTGTTTGAAAGGGGGAAGGAAAAGGGGCAGAGAGAATGAAGAGTCAAAGGAGGAAAGTCTGGACAAGAAAATAAATAAAAAGAGAGAAAGAGCGCAAGAAATGAATGCATTGGTCTGCTGCTCAATTAGTCCAAGAAGAAGCCCACCTATAGAAAGCATCAAATTTAGGCCCAAGAGAATTGGAGGCTCCATCTTCTGCCATAAATCTCAGGTGATTCATTAGGCTGTGATGAATGCATCTTTTGATGTTAATGATTATAACAGCTTCAATTTCTTTTTCTTTTGTTTAAGAACAACTTTAACTTCCAAGGGTTTCGAGTTATTTTTTAACTTAAAACTAATATGCCCTTCAACTCCTCGATCGCACGCAACTTGCATCTGCCGGCAATGACAACGCTGCAAGCTTGAATCACCATGCTTTTGGTCTTCAAGGCTCCAAGAAAACACATCATCGTAGGAAGGCATGTCACCAAGGCCGGTGGAGACCAAATTCCTATCATCAAGCATTCTATACTATACGTGCAACAGCAGTGCATATTCTTTCATTATTTATGTGTATCTGTGCATATATATATATACACATGCAAACACAGGACCATGCAGTAATTAAGCTGCCAAACGCATAAATCAGCGGTTATTCTGGTAAATTTAATTTAAAAAAAGTGGAAATTTTTTCACAAAAACAAATACCCGATTACAATTTTCTTCTTCTTCTTCTTCTCCTCCAATCACCACTGCTAAAAATTTATCCACAACTTCCTGCACAGCTTGTCTCTGCTTTCCCAATAGGCGCCCTCCACAGTTTCTCAAAGCTAGTAAAGTTATCGATGAGAGATATCAGGAGAAAAAAAGAAAGAAAGGAAGGAAGGTAAAAATAATTGCAAGGATATGGTTAATATGTTTGTTGGGTGTAGGCTTATGGCAAATGGTGGTTCATGCCATCTATAAAATAAGCAATGTTTCCATGCTTATCAGATGATGAGACTCTTATATAGGTCTTTTGTTGAAAGAAATGCCATCAAGCTGTCACAGTCATCATCTTCCCTTTTCTTCATATAATCCACAACAAAATCCATTTCCCTGGAATTCCAAAGATTTCAATCAATAAATTAACTGTAATCATCATGATAACCAATACCATCATAAAATTAAAGAAATAGGAAGAAAAATGGTGTCACTATAAAAGTTCACTTATTATTGAAACTCAGTTCTATGATTATCTTAGAAGATGATTTAATTTCAGAAAATTTCCTTGTTGAATTCTTTTTTTTTTTTTTAATGATAGATGATCAGCTAAAGTTTTCAATTCATGTCTTGTTATCAAGTTACATATCACGTGCACCAATCGTGTTTAGTAACTTGTTAATTTCGTAACATGCATTGGAGGCGTATACTACCAGGTCTTAGGACCTACAAATTCTGAGTCTGTATTTCATAGAATCATAGAGCAAATAGATTGAATGGCTTCAACCATGTCTCTTAGTAGGTAAAACTTCTTGCATTTATATAACTTCAATAAAATATCTTCAACAAGTGAGTGTGTATTCAATTAACAAGTTGTCCTAAAATAAACCATAGCTTGCACTTTGTTTGCTAGCATAGGGAAGTCTGAAACTTAGAGCAGCATGCATGAACTTCAAAAGTAACCCCAAAAAGAATCAAAAGAAAATAAGGAAAAAAAATAGTTCAATTGTCATTGAAGTCAACCAGATCTAATCTTAAAACATTTCATCATGATTACTTTGAGTCATATCAGAATCAACTTATGAGTAGTACTCTTAGTTCTAGCCCTAGCTTGGGTTAGTTTTTCATGTAGGGCTTGAAGGAGTTGGAGCTGAAACGGGAAAACATGTTAATTGTTAACAAAAGTCACTCTCCCTTGTTTTGCACTAGTATCAGCTACAATGGTAGCTTCAAATTTTGGGTGTGCAGATAAGAGGTCCATCACAGTCTGAGAGTGTCAAAAAAACGATGTATGAACCCAATGCAGAGAGGAATAGAATCCAGATGAAGCGTAGGGTTGAGCTGCTAGGGGAAGCCTTGAAGTAGTAGCATATTGTTCAAGTTCTCCTACAGGCCAACAAGTTGTTGCCTGCTGAAGGTACTTGGCAACTTCTTCTATGATATTTAGGTTTGTGGTTCCAGCCCGAATGCCCTCAACATCAAATAAAGCTAGGCTGAAT